GGTCTCTCTCTGGTCTCTCTCTGGTCTCTCCCCCCTGGTCTCTCTCCTCTAGCTTGTCTTTAGCTAATCTCCCGCGCGGCTCCAAACGCAGATGACGTCACGCTGATATAACATACTATAATAGAACATGCTGTTAAATGACACATATGTTAAAACGACAGATTTCCTGGACTTTTAAGACTCGTAGTGACGTCACTTTAGCAGCTGTGGTTCTCCCGCTCCTTTGCACGCTCTATTCTCTCAAAAACACCCAAATACATGGTTTTATTTCAGTATTTTTTTAGCTGTGCACCACATGTTAGCTTTAGCCTCCAGGACAGTCATGTGTTCAGTCAGTCTCTGCTGATGGTCTGATCTCTCAATACTGTGTCTTTACATCCAAGTAACGAGTAGAACATGTTTGTACTCGAGTATTTATTGGGGATTACTCTCGTCAAATTATTCTTTACAGCAGATTTTTACAACATGGCTAATGTTTTATAAACTAGTGCTAAAAGGCTCTCTGGTTTCTCCTGTCTCTGGTGTCTCCCCTCTCTCTCTGGTGTCTCCCCTCTCTCTCTCTGGTGTCTCCCCTCTCTCTCTGGTGTCTCCCCTCTCTCTCTCTCTGGTGTCTCCGCTCTCTCTCTCTCTCTCTGGTGTCTCCCCTCTCTCTCTCTCTCTCTGGTGTCTCCCCTCTCTCTCTCTCTCTCTCTCTGGTGTCTCCCCTCTCTCTCTCTCTCTCTCTCTGGTGTCTCCCCTCTCTCTCTCTCTCTCTCTGGTGTCTCCCCTCTCTCTCTCTCTCTCTCTGGTGTCTCCCCTCTCTCTCTCTCTGGTGTCTCCCCTCTCTCTCTCTCTGGTGTCTCCGCTCTCTCTCTCTCTGGTGTCTCCCCTCTCTCTCTCTCTGGTGTCTCCCCTCTCTCTCTCTCTGGTGTCTCCTCTCTCTCTCTGGTGTCTCCCCTCTCTCTCTCTGGTGTCTCCCCTCTCTCTCTCTGGTGTCTCCCCTCTCTCTCTCTGGTGTCTCCCCTCTCTCTCTCTGGTGTCTCCCCTCTCTCTCTCTGGTGTCTCCCCTCTCTCTCTCTGGTGTCTCCCCTCTCTCTCTCTGGTGTCTCCCCTCTCTCTCTGGTGTCTCCTCTCTCTCTCTGGTGTCTCCCCTCTCTCTCTGGTGTCTCCTCTCTCTCTCTGGTGTCTCCCTCTCTCTCTCTGGTGTCTCCTCTCTCTCTCTGGTGTCTCCTCTCTCTCTCTGGTGTCTCCCCCCTCTCTCTCTCTGGTGTCTCCCCTCTCTCTCTCTCTGGTGTCTCTCTCTCTCTGGTGTCTCTCTCTCTCTGGTGTCTCTCTCTCTCTCTCTGGTGTCTCCCCCTCTCTGGTGTCTCCCCTCTCTCTCCCTGGTGTCTCCCCTCTCTCTCCCTGGTGTCTCTCCTCCCTGGTGTCTCTCTCTCTCTCTCTGGTCTCTCTCTGGTCTCTCTCTCTGGTCTCTGGTCTCTCTCTCTCTGGTCTCTCTCTCTGGTCTCTCTCTCTGGGTCTCTCTCTCTCTGTCTCTCTCTCTGGTCTCTCTCTCTCTCTGGTCTCTCTCTCTCTCTCTCTCTTCTCTCCCTCTCTCTCTCTGGTGTCTCCCCTCTCTCTCTGTGTCTCCCCTCTCTCTCTCTCTGGTGTCTCCCCCTCTCTCTCTCTGGTGTCTCCCTCTCTCTCTCTGGTGTCTCCCCTCTCTCTCTCTCTGGTGTCTCCCTCTCTCTCTCTCTGGTGTCTCCATCCTCTCTCTCTCTCTGGTGTCTCCACTCTCTCTCTCTCTGGTGTCTCCCCTCTCTCTCTCTCTGGTGTCTCCCCTCTCTCTCTCTGGGGTGTCTCCCCCTCTCTCTCTCTGGTGTCTCCCCCTCTCTCTCTCTGGTGTCTCCCCTCTCTCTCTCTCTCTGGTGTCTCCCCTTCTCTCTCTCTCTCTGGTGTCTCCCCTCTCTCTCTCTCTGGGTCTCTCTCTCTCTCTGGTCTCTCTCTCTCTCTCTGGTCTCTCTCTCTCTCTCTCTGGTCTCTCTCTCTCTCTGGTCTCTCTCTCTCTCTGGTCTCTCTCTCTCTGGTCTCTCTCTCTCTGGTCTCTCTCTCTCTGGTCTCTCTCTCTCTCTCTCTCTGGTCTCTCTCTCTGGTCTCTCTCTCTGGTCTCTCTCTGGTCTCTCTCTCTGTGGTCTCTCTCTCTCTGGTCTCTCTCTCTCTGGTCTCTCTCTCTTCTGGTCTCTCTCTCTCTCTCTGGTCTCTCTCTCTCTCTCTGGTCTCTCTCTCTCTCTCTGGTCTCTCTTCTCTCTCTCTGGTCTCTCTCTCTCTCTCTCTGGTCTCTCTCTCTCTGGGTCTCTCTCTCTCTGGTCTCTCTCTCTCTGGTCTCTCTCTCTCTCTCTGGTCTCTCTCTCTCTCTCTCTCTCTCTCTGGTCTCTCTCTCTCTCTGGTCTCTCTCTCTCTCTGGTCTCTCTCCTCTCTGGTCTCTGGTCTCTATCTCTCCTCTCTCTCTCTCTCTGGTCTCTCTCTCTCTCTGGTCTCTCTCTCTCTGGTCTCTCTCTCTCTGGTCTCTCTCTCTCTCTCTCTGGTCTCTCTCTCTGGTCTCTCTCTCTGGTCTCTCTCTGGTCTCTCTCTCTGTGGTCTCTCTCTCTGTGGTCTCTCTCTCTGTGGTCTCTCTCTCTCTGGTCTCTCTCTCTCTGGTCTCTCTCTCTCTCTCTGGTCTCTCTCTCTCTCTCTCTGGTCTCTCTCTCTCTGGTCTCTCTCTCTCTCTCTGGTCTCTCTCTCTCTGGTCTCTCTCTCTCTGGTCTCTCTCTCTCTCTCTGGTCTCTCTCTCTCTGGTCATCTCTCTCTGGTCTCTCTCTCTCTGGTCTCTCTCTCTGGTCTCTCTCTCTCTCTCTCTGGTCTCTCTCTCTCTGGTCTCTCTCTCTCTCTCTCTCTCTCTCTGGTCTCTCTCAGGAGTGGATCGGGGGTTGAGTGTTTCTCATTTGCCTAAGAATGTGAAGGTATTGGTCTTCTTTAGATGTAAATCCAATCATTGCTGTGGATGCAACAGTTTGTGGTTTTCTTGAGGAGTTTTGATGGAAAACAATGGATCATGATTGAATTATAATAAGAGCAGTAGAGTAGCATCATTAGCTCACTTAAATGTGTCGGAGAGCTACCAACCTTCACTCTACAACAATGGAACCATGGCTACAGTACAATAGAAGTCTGTCATAGAATAGTTTGTGACCTTGGTCTGCTCTCTCGCTCTCTGGTTTCTCACAAATGTAACTCGCTCTCATCTCTCGTCTGACTCTGCTCTCTCGCTTTCTGGTTTCTCACACAGATAACTCATACTCTCGCCCCTCTGGACTTTGCTCTCTCTGGTGTCTCCCCCCTCTCTCTCTCTCTGGTGTCTCCCCTCTCTCTCTCTCTGGTGTCTCCCCTCTCTCTCTCTCTCTCTCCCCTCTCTCTCTCTCTGGTGTCTCCCCTCTCTCTCTCTCTCTGGTGTCTCCCCTCTCTCTCTCTCTGGTGTCTCCCCTCTCTCTCTCTCTGGTGTCTCCCCTCTCTCTGGTGTCTCCCCTCTCTCTGGTGTCTCCTCTCTCTCTCTCTCTGGTGTCTCCTCTCTCTCTCTCTCTCTCTCTGGTGTCTCCCCTCTATCTCTCTCTCTCTGGTGTCTCCCCTCTATCTCTCTCTCTCTGGTGTCTCCCCTCTCCCCTCTCTCTCTCTCTCTCTCTCTCTCTGGTGTCTCCCCTCTCTCTCTCTCTGGTGTCTCCCCTCTCCCCACAGATAACTCATACTCTCTCCCCTCTGGTCTCTCACTCTCTCTGGTTTCTCACACAGATAACTCATACTCTCTCCCCTCTGGTGTCTCACTCTCTCTGGTTTCTCACACAGATAACTCATACTCTTGCCCCTCTGGTCTCTCTCTCTCTGGTTCTCACACAGATAACTCATACTCTCTCCCCTCTGGACTCTTCGCTCTCTCTGGTTTCTCACACAGATAACTCATACTCTCGCCCCTCTGGTCTCTCACACTCTCTGGTTTCTCACACAGATAACTCATACTCTCTCCCCTCTGGTCTCTCACTCTCATCTGGTTTCTCACACAGATAACTCATACTCTCGCCCCTCTGGTCTCTCTCTCTTCTCTGGTTTCTCACACAGATAACTCATACTCTCGTCCCCTCTGGTCTCTCTCTCTCTCTGGTTTCTCACACAGATAACTCATACTCTCGCCCCTCTGGTCTCTCTCACTCTCTCTGGTTTCTCACACAGATAACTCATACTCTCGCCCCTCTGGTCTCTCACTCTCTCTGGTTTCTCACACAGATAACTCATACTCTCGCCCCTCTGGTCTCTCACTCTCTCTGGTTTCTCACACAGATAACTCATACTCTCTCCCCTCTGGTCTCTGCTCTCTCTGGTTTCTCACACAGATAACTCATACTCTCGCCCCTCTGGACTTTGCTCTCTCTGGTTTCTCACACAGATAACTCATACTCTCGCCCCTCTGGACTTTGCTCTCTCTGGTTTCTCACACAGATAACTCATACTCTCGCCCCTCTGGTCTCTCACACTCTCTGGTTTCTCACACAGATAACTCATGCTCTCGCCCCTCTGGTCTCTCACTCTCTCTGGTTTCTCACAGATAACTCATACTCTCGCCCCTCTGGACTTTGCTCTCTCTGGTTTCTCACACAGATAACTCCTACTCTCGCCCCTCTGGTCTCTCACTCTCTCTGGTTTCTCACACAGATAACTCATACTCTCGCCCCTCTGGTCTCTCACTCTCTCTGGTTTCTCACACAGATAACTCATACTCTCGCCCCTCTGGTCTCTCACTCTCTCTGGTTTCTCACACAGATAACTCATACTCTCGCCCCTCTGGTCTCTCACTCTCTCTGGTTTCTCACACAGATAACTCATACTCTCTCCCCTCTGGTCTCTCACTCTCTCTGGTTTCTCACACAGATAACTCATACTCTCGCCCCTCTGGTCTCTCACTCTCTCTGGTTTCTCACACAGATAACTCATACTCTCGCCCCTCTGGTCTCAGGACGATGCCCAGCACTCGCTCCCAGCTCCGCTCGCAGCCGCAGCTGCCGTTCCCGCGCCGTAAGTCGTGCCGCGCTCCGACTCGGACGCAGAAGACGGAGCCGCCGTCACCGGTGAAGGACCAGGATGTTCCTCTGTCTCCACGGCAACCAGTCTCCCTGACTCCTCTGTCTCCAAGGCGACCGAAGCCACAGCTGCCGGCGTCACCCCGCCTCCAGGCCCGGGTCCCACTGAGCCCCAGGAAGCGTACGGGTGAGAGAGAGCGGGGGAGGAGGGAAGGTCCTGGTTTGTTCGCTGCTACAATAAATCTGACGCAAGACCAGGACGCGCTAACGGCTCCTCTGAGGGCGAAGCATTTCTCTACAAATCTAGTTTCTCTCCATCTGGTCCCCTGTCCTCTCTCTCTAGTCTCTTCCTAGTCCCTCTCACTCTGGTCTCTTCCTAGTCTCGCTCTCTCTCGCTCTCTTCCTAGTCCCTCTCTCTCTAGTCTCTCTCTGGGCCCTCTCTCTCTGGTCTCTTCCTAGTCTCGCTCTCTCTCTCTCTCTCTCTCTCTGGTGTCTTCCTAGTCCCCCTCTCTCTAGTCTCTCTCTCTCTCTCTGGTCTCTTCCTAGTCCCTCTCTCTCTAGTCTCTCTCTGGGCCCTCTCTCTCTAGTCTCTCTCTGGGCAGTCTCTCTCTGGGCCCTCTCTCTCTGGTCTCTTCCTAGTCTCTCTGGTGTCTTCCTAGTCCCCCTCTCTCTAGTCTCTCTCTGGGCCCTCTCTCTGGTCTCTCGTCTAGTCTCGCTCTCCTCTCTCTCTGGTGTCTTCCTAGTCCCCCCTCTCTAGTCTCTATCTGGGCCTCTCTCTCTGGTCTCTTCCTGGTCTCTTCCTGTCTCTCTCTCTCTCTCTGGTGTACTTCCTAGTACCCCTCTCTCTAGTCTCTCTCTGGGCCCTCTCTCTCTGGTCTCTTCCTAGTCTCTCTCTTTCTCTCTCTCTCGTCTCTCTCTCTCTCTCTCTCTCTGGTGTCTTCCTAAGTCCCCTCTCTCTCTAGTCTCTCTCTGGGCCCTCTCTCTTGGTCTCTCTCCTAGTCTCGCTCTCTCTCTCTCTCTGGTGTCTTCCTAGTCCCCCTCCTCTCTAGTCTCTCTCTGGGCCCTCTCTCTCTGGTCTCTTCCTAGTCTCTCTCTCTCTCTCTCTGGTGTCTTCCTAGTCCCTCTCTCTCTGGTCTCTTTCTGGCCCTCTCTCTGGTGTCTTCCTAGTCCCTCTCTCTAGTCTCTCTCTGGGCCCTCTCTCTCTAGTCTCTCTCTGGTCTCTTCCTGGTCTCTTCCTAGTCTCTCTCTCTCTCTCTGGTGTCTTCCTAGTCCCCCTCTCTCTAGTCTCTCTCTGGGCCCTCTCTCTCTGGTCTCTTCCTAGTCCCCCTCTCTCTAGTCTCTCTCTGGGCCCTCTCTCACTGGTGTCTTCCTAGTCCCTCTCTGGTCTCTCTCTGGGCCCTCTCTCTCTGGTGTCTTCCTGGGCCCTCTCTCTCTGGTGTCTTCCTAGTCCCTCTCTGGTCTCTTTCTGGGCCCTCTCTCTCTGGTGTCTTCCTAGTCCCTCTCTGGTCTCTTTCTGGGCCCTCTCTCTCTCGCTCTCTTCCTAGTCCCTCTCTCTCTAGTCTCTCTGGGCCCTCTCTCTGGTGTCTTCCTAGTCCCTCTCTCTCTAGTCTCTCTCTGGGCCCTCTCTCTCTGGTCTCTTCCTAGTCCCTCTCTGGTCTCTTTCTGGGCCCTCTCTCTCTGGTCCAATCTATTATTAAAATAAACTAGTTCATTACTATTTATCTATAGATGGAGTTGACAGATAAAATATATATATTTATTATTATTATTATTAACTTCTTCTTCTGCAGGAGACGAGAACGGCTGCAACGTCCCTCTGTCCGGATCCTCTCCTCCGAAGCAGAGCAGACCGACCCTCGGCTTCAGTCCAGACTCTGAGAACTCACCATGTGCAGCAAGGCGTCAACTGGTCCCGACGGCATCTCCACGGAAACCAGCCACCAGCCCCGCCCCTAAAGCATCGCCACGGAGACAGGAGACGCCCACAGGAAGTCCCCACAAGTCCAGGATCCAAGCGCAGAGGAAGCCACCGGTAGTTCGCCTGTTCTCAGACAGTAAGTGACCACAGAGAGACCCTCCCTCCTCCGTCCTCACCCTCTTCTCTCTCTCGCCCCTCCTCTCCTCTCTCCCCTCCACGCTCTCCTCTCTCTCCCCTCCACGCTCTCTCCTCCACGCTCTCCTCTCTCTCTCTCCCCTCTCCGCTCTCCTCTCTCTCTCCTCGCTCTCCTCTCTCTCTCCACGCTCTCTCTCCTCTCCCCTCCACGCTCTCCTCTCTCTCTCCATGCTCTCCTCTCTCTCTCCCGCTCTCTTCTCTCTCTCCCCTCTCACGCTCTCCTCTCTCTCCACGCTCTCCTCTCTCTCTCTCCCCTCCCGCTCTCTTCTCTCTCTCCCCTCCTCGCTCTCCTCTCTCTCTCTCTCCCCTCCCCTCTCCCTCTCTCTCTCTCTCTCCCTCCCCTCTCCTCTCCTCTCTCTCCCCTCCCCGCTCTCCTCTCTCTCTCTCCCCTCCACTCTCTCCTCTCTCTCTCTCTCCCCTCCCTCTCTCCTCCCTCTCTTCCCTCCACTCTCTCCTCTCTCTCTCTCTCCCCTCCACGCTCTCCTCTCTCTCTCCCCTCCCCGCTCTCCTCTCTCTCTCTCTCCCCTCCACTCTCTCCTCTCCTCTCTCCCCCTCCTCCCTCTCCCCTCCCGCTCTCCTCTCTCTCTCCCCTCCACCTCTCCTCTCTCTCTCCCTCCACCTCTCCCTCTCTCTCCCCTCCCTCTCTCTCTCCCTCTCTCCCTCCCCTCTCCTCTCTCTCTCTCCCTCCCGCTCTCCTCCTCTCTCTCCTCCCTCTCTCCCTCTCTCTCTCCCTCCACCTCTCTCCCTCTCTCTCCCTCCCGCTCTCCTCCCTCTCTCTCCCTCCACCTCTCCTCTCTCTCTCTCTCCCCTCCCCTCTCTCCTCCCTCTCTCCCTCCCGCTCTCCTCTCTCTCTCTCCCCTCCTCCTCTCCTCCCTCTCTCCCTCACCTCTCTCTCCTCTCTCCCCTCCCCTCTCCCTCTCCTCTCTCTCCTCTCTCCCCTCCACCTCCTCTCTCCTCTCTCCCCTCGCTCTCTCCCTCTCTCTCCTCCTCTCCCTCTCTCTCCTCTCTCCCTCGCTCTCTCCCTCTCTCCTCGCTCTCTCCTCTCTCTCCCCGCTCTCCCTCTCTCTCTCTCCCCTCCCCGCTCTCCTCTCTCTCTCCCTCTCCCGCTCTCCTCTCTCTCCCCTCCACGCTCTCCTCTCTCTCCTCTCCCTCCACCTCTCCTCTCTCTCTCTCCCTCCTCCCCTCTCCTCTCTCTCTCTCCCCTCCCTCTCCCTCTCTCCTCTCCCCTCCACGCTCTCCTCTCTCTCTCCCCTCCGCTCCCCTCTCTCTCCCTCCCTCTCTGCTCTCCTCTCTCTCTCCCTCTCCCGCTCTCCTCTCTCCCCTCCCCGCTCTCCTCTCTCTCTCTCCCTCCACGCTCTCCTCTCTCTCTCTCCCTCCACGCTCTCCTCTCTCTCTCCCCTCCTCTCTCTCTCCTCCCTCTCTCCTCCCTCTCTCCCCTCCACGCTCTCCTCCCTCTCTCCCTCCCCTCTCCTCTCCCTCTCTCCCCCTCCACGCTCTCCCTCTCTCTCCCCCTCCTCTCTCTCCTCTCTCCTCCTCCTCCCCTCTCCCCTCTCTCTCTCTCCCCTCCCCTCTCCTCTCTCCTCTCCCTCCCGCTCCCCTCCTCTCTCCTCCCCTCTCCCTCTCTCTCCCCCTCCCGCTCTCCTCTCTCTCTCTCCCCTCCCCTCTCCTCCCTCTCTCCCCTCCCCGCTCTCCTCCCTCTCTCCCCTCCCCCTCCTCTCTCTCTCCTCCCCTCCACGCTCTCCTCTCTCTCTCCTCCTCCTCCGCTCTCTCTCTCCTCTCCCTCCCCCCTCTCCTCCCTCTCTCTCCCTCCTCCTCTCTCTCTCCTCCCCTCCACGCTCTCTCTCTCTCTCCCCTCCACGCTCTCTCTCCTCTCCTCCTCCCCTCTCTCCTCTCTCTCCCCTCTCGCTCTCTCCTCTCCCCCTCCTCCTCTCTCCTCTCCCTCCCTCTCTCCCTCCACGCTCTCCTCCCCTCCCTCTCTCTCCCCCTCTCCTCCCTCTCTCTCTCCCCTCCCTCTCTCTCTCCTCCCTCCTCCTCCTCCTCTCCCTCCCCTCCCTCTCTCCTCCCCTCCTCTCTCCCCCTCCCTCTCTCTCCCCCTCCTCTCCTCTCTCCCCTCTCCTCCCTCTCTCCTCTCCCTCTCCCTCCTCCCTCTCCTCTCCCCTCTCTCCTCCTCTCCTCTCTCTCCCCTCTCCTCCTCTCTCTCCCTCCCCTCCCTCTCCTCCTCTCTCTCCCCTCCTCTCTCCCCTCTCTCTCCTCTCTCCTCCCCTCTCCTCTCCTCTCTCTCCCCTCCCCTCCTCCCTCTCCTCTCCTCCCTCTCTCCCCTCTCCCTCCTCTCTCTCTCCCCTCCCCTCTCTCCTCTCTCTCCCCTCCCTCTCTCCTCCCTCTCTCCCCTCCCGCTCTCCTCTCTCTCTCCCCTCCCTCGCTCTCCTCTCTCTCTCCCCTCCCGCTCTCCTCTCTCTCTCTCCTCCCCTCCCCGCTCTCCCTCTCTCTCCCCTCCCCTCTCCTCTCTCCCCCTCCTCCTCTCCTCTCTCCTCCCCTCCCCTCTCCCTCTCTCCTCTCTCCTCCCCCGCTCTCCTCTCCTCTCTCCCCTCCACCCTCTCCTCTCTCTCCTCTCCCCTCCTCCTCTCCTCCTCTCTCTCCTCCCCTCCACCTCTCCTCTCTCTCTCCCCTCCACTCTCTCCCTCTCTCTCCCCTCCCCCTCTCCTCCCTCTCTCTCCCCTCCCTCTCTCCTCTCCTCTCTCTCCCCTCCCCTCTCTCCTCTCCTCCCTCTCTCTCCCCTCCCCTCTCTCCTCTCTCTCCCCTCCCGCTCTCCTCCTCTCTCCCCTCCCTCTCTCCTCTCTCTCCCTCTCCCTCTCTCCTCTCTCCTCTCTCTCCTCCCCCCTCTCTCCTCTCCCTCTCCCTCCTCCTCCCTCGCTCTCCTCTCTCTCTCCTCCTCTCTCTCTCTCCCCTCCACCTCTCCTCTCCTCCTCTCTCCCTCCCCTCCACGCTCTCTCCCTCTCCTCTCTCCCCTCCTCCCTCTCCTCCTCTCTCTCTCTCCCCTCCCGCTCTCCTCTCTCTCCTCTCCCCTCCCCCTCTCCTCTCTCTCTCCCTCCCCTCTCTCCTCTCTCTCCTCCCTCCACCTCTCCCTCTCTCCCCTCCCTCTCTCTCTCCCTCTCTCTCTCCTCCTCCCGCTCTCCTCTCTCCCCTCCCGCTCTCCTCTCCTCTCTCCCCTCCACTCTCTCCTCTCTCTCTCCTCCCCTCCCGCTCTCCTCTCTCTCTCCCCTCCTCTCTCTCTCCTCCCGCTCTCCTCCCTCTCTCCCCTCCCTCTCTCCTCCCTCTCTCCCTCCTCCCTCTCCCTCTCCTCTCCTCCCTCTCCTCCTCTCCTCTCCTCTCTCCTCCCTCCCCGCTCTCCTCTCTCTCCCCCTCCCTCTCTCCTCTCCTCTCTCTCCCCTCCCCTCTCCTCTCCTCTCTCCCCTCCCTCTCTCCTCTCTCTCTCTCCTCCACGCTCTCCTCTCTCTCTCCCCTCCCGCTCTCCCTCTCCTCTCTCCCCTCCCGCTCTCCTCCCTCTCTCCCCTCCACCTCTCCTCCCTCTCTCCCCTCCCCTCTCTCCTCTCTCCTCCCCTCCCCTCTCTCTCCCTCTCTCCCTCCCCTCTCTCCTCTCTCTCCCCTCCACGCTCTCTCCTCCTCTCTCTCCCCTCCCCTCTCTCTCCTCTCTCCCTCCCCTCTCTCCTCTCTCCCCTCCCTCCTCTCTCCTCTCCCCTCCACGCTCTCTCCTCTCTCTCCCCTCCCGCTCTCTCTCTCCTCCCCTCCCCTCTCTCCTCCCTCTCTCCCCTCCCTCTCTCTCCCCTCCCCTCTCTCTCCCCTCCCCCTCTCTCCCCTCCACCTCTCTCCCCTCCCCTCTCTCCCTCCCGCTCTCTCCCCTCCTCCTCTCTCCCTCCCCTCCTCTCTCCTCCTCCCTCTCTCTCCTCCCCTCTCTCCCCTCCCTCTCTCTCTCCCTCCCCGCTCCTCTCCCCTCCTCCCTCTCTCCTCCCGCTCTCCTCTCTCTCCCCTCCTCCCTCTCCCTCCCCTCTCCTCTCTCTCTCCCCTCCCGCTCTCCTCTCTCTCTCTCCCCTCTCCCTCTCCTCCTCTCTCTCTCCCCTCCTCTCCTCTCCTCTCTCCTCTCCCCTCCCGCTCTCCTCTCCCTCTCTCCCTCCCCTCTCCTCCTCTCTCTCCTCTCCCTCCCCGCTCTCCTCTCTCTCTCTCCCTCCCCTCTCCTCTCTCCCTCTCTCCCTCCCCTCTCCTCCTCTCCTCTCTCCCTCCCCCTCTCCTCTCTCTCTCCTCCTCCCGCTCTCCTCTCTCTCCTCTCTCCCCTCCCGCTCTCCTCTCCTCTCTCTCTCCCCTCCCGCTCTCCTCTCTCTCCCCTCTCACGCTCTCCTCTCCTCTCCCCTCCTCGCTCTCCTCTCCTCTCTCTCCCCTCCACGCTCTCCTCTCTCTCTCTCCCCTCCACGCTCTCCTCTCTCTCTCTCTCCCCTCCACCTCTCCTCTCTCTCTCTCCCCTCCACGCTCTCCTCTCTCTCTCCCCTCCACTCTCTCCTCTCTCTCTCCCCTCCACGCTCTCCTCTCTCTCTCCCCTCCACGCTCTCCTCTTCTCTCTCTCTCCCCCCCTCCCACGCTCTCCTCTCTCTCTCTCTCTCCCCTCCACGCTCTCCTCTCTCTCCCCTCCAGCCGCTCTCCTCTCTCTCCCCTCCACGCTCTCTCTCTCTCACTCTCTCCCCCACGGCTCTCCTCTCTCTCTCTCCCCTCCACGCTCTCCTCTCTCTCTCTCCCCTCCACGCTCTCCTCTCTCTCTCCCCTCCACGCTCTCCTCTCTCTCTCCCCCTCCACGCTCTCCTCTCTCTCTCCCCCTCCACGCTCTCCTCTCTCTCTCCCCCCTCCACGCTCTCCTCTCTCTTTGCTCCCTCCACGCTCTCTTCTCTCTCTTTCTACCCTCCACGCTCTCCTCTCCTCTTCCTCTCTCTCCACGCTCTCCTCTCTCTCTTCCTCTTCTCCACGCTCTCTTTCTCTCTCTCTCCCTCCACGCTCTCTTCTCTCTCTCTCTCCCCCACGCTCTCCTCTCTCTCTCTCCCCTCCACGCTCTCCTCTCTCTCTCCCCTCCACGCTCTCCTCTCTCTCTCTCCCCTCCACGCTCTCCTCTCTCTCTCTCTCCCCTCCACGCCTCTCCTCTCTCTCTCTCTCCCTCCACGCTCTCTTCTCTCTCTCTCCCCCACGCTCTCCTCTCTCCTCTCCCCTCCACGCACTCCTCTCTCTCTCTCCCCTCCACGCTCTCCTCTCTCTCTCTCCCCTCCACGCTCTCCTCCTCTCTCTCTCCCCTCCACGCTCTCCTCTCTCTCTCCCCTCCACGCTCTCCTCTCTCTCTCCCCCTCCACGCTCTCCTCTCTCTTTCTACCCTCCACGCTCTCTTCTCTCTCTTTCTCCCTCCACGCTCTCCTCTCTCCTCTTCCTCTTCTCCACGCTCTCCTCTCTCCTCTTCCTCTTCTCCACGCTCTCTTCTCTCTCTCTCCCCTCCACGCTCTCTTCTCCACACTCCCCTCCATGCTCTACTCTCTCTCTCTCCCCTCCACGCTCTTCTCTCACTCCCCTCCTCACCCTCTCTCTCCCCCCTCAGAGTCCCGGTTCCTGGGGGTGAAGCAGGCCCTCCACACAGCGGTCCCTGAACGCCTCTTGTCCCGTGACACTGAACGCAGCACGATCCGCAGCTTCCTGCAGGAGAGGGTTCTGAAGAAGAGGGCGGGAAGTCTGTACATCTCCGGAGCTCCAGGGACCGGGAAGACCGCCTGCCTCAACTGTGTCCTGAGGGAGATGGAGGTGAGAGAGACTGTGTCCTGAGGGAGATGGAGGTGAGGGAGACCAGAGAGACTGTGTCCTGAGGGAGATGGAGGTGAGAGAGACCAGAGAGAGACTGTCTCTGGTCTCAAGATGAGGCCAAAAACGCCCTAATTCATGTGAAAACTAGTGGTAGAAAAAACAGTTTTGGGGCCGGAGACTGAACTTTTTTTTGTGGTTTCAAAGTTGGGTACTGTGCAGACTGTTATTGGTGTCTTGTACTGTGTTGTTGCTGTGTGAATTCTGTCACGTTCCTCCCTGATGGTGTGGTGTTCTTCCTCAGTCGGAGCTGTCGTCGGTGCAGACGGTGGTGATGAACTGCATGACTCTGCGCAGCTCTCACTCAGTCTTCTCTGTTCTGTCTGAGAAACTGAAGACCACAGGAGGCCAGAGCGGACTCACCAAGCTCCTCACGGCCCCAGGGAGGACTGTGTGAGTACGGGGGGAGAGGGTGGGAGAGGCCGGGGGGTGAGGGGGGGAGGGAGGGATAGGCCGAGGCCAGAGGTAGTCCGCTTCAATCACTAGTTTCATGTGTTCTTGTCCTGTCCCTTTTCTGTCTAAAAAAGCTGATCTAAAAATGTGATCTCTCTCTCTCTCTCTCTCTCTGTGTGTGTGTCCCTTTCTCAGCGTGTGTGTGTCTCTCTCTCTCTCTGTGTGTGTGTCCCTTTCTCAGCGGGTGTGTGTCTCTCGGCGTGTGTGTGTCCCTTTCTCAGCGGGTGTGTGTCTCTCGGCGTGTGTGTGTCCCTTTCTCAGCGGGTGTGTGTGACACTTCTAGAGCTGGTGACTCGTTGTTTATTATGGACCAAACTTTTTGTCAATAAAACAACATAATAATAATAATAATAGTCTTTTATCATTCTTTTCATGGAGAAAGTTCATAAAAATGTAACAAACATCAGAATAAAACGTCTCAGAGGACTTTACAAAGTTGTCGATTCCTCAACAGCAGATCAGAGATTCAATAACCAGGTCTACTCTGCCTGGCTGTGTTTCCATTACACTTCAGTATCTGGTACCGTATCCTAGCGACCTACCCACAACAAACCAGTATCCGGGGAAATTCCTTGGTAACCATGGCTCCCCAGCAGCACTCTGGCCAATCACTGTCAGTTAGAATGCTTTAGTACCAGCTCGGTCTGGATTGAACCAGGACCAAGAGGGACTAAAGAAGCTGAAGCAGAGACTAGAGAGAGACCAGAGACAGACAAGAGAGAGACCAGGGAGAGATCAGAGACAGACCAGAGAGAGACCAGGGAGAGATCAGAGACAGACAAGAGAGAGACCAGGAAGAGACCAAAGACAGACTAGAGAGAGACCAGGAAGAGACCAGAGAGACCAGGAAGAGACCAGAGACAGACAAGAGAGAGACCAGGGAGAGATCAGAGACAGACAAGAGAGAGACCAGGAAGAGACCAAAGACAGACTAGAGAGAGACCAGGAAGAGACCAGAGAGACCAGGAAAAGACCAGAGACAGACAAGAGAGAGACCAGGGAGAGATCAGAGAGAGACTAGAGAGAGACCAGGGAGAGACCAGAGAGAGACCAGAGAGAGCCCAGGAAGAGATCAGAGACAGACAAGAGAGAGACCAGGAAGAGACCAGAGACAGACAAGAGAGAGACCAGGAAGAGACCAGAGACAGACTAGAGAGAGACCAGGGAGAGATCAGAGACAAGACTAGAGAGAGACCAGCACGGTGGCTGAGTGGATAGCACTCTCGCCTCTCAGCAAGAAGGTCCTGGGTTCGAATCCCGGCCGGACCAGGGCCTTTCTGAGTGGAGTTTGCATGTTCTCCCCGTGTCTGCGTGGGTTTCCTCCGGGTACTCTGGTTTCCCCTACCACTAAAAACATGAACAATAGGTCTGGCATGCGCCTCCTGTACTGGCCCCGCTCCCATCTCTGAGTGGAGTGAGAGACAAATGCCCAAAAATAATAACAATTGTAAACCGCTTTGTGACTCTGGTCTGTGAAAGGCGGTATATAAATAAAGATTACTTACTTACTTACTTACTTACTTACTTGAGATCAGAGAGAGACTAGAGAGAGACCAGAGAGAGACCTGAGAGAGCCCAGGAAGAGATCAGAGACAGACTAGACAGAGACCAGAGAGAGACAGTAATATTGTAGTAACACATGACTTTGAGACAGTAACTAGTAACACATCAGGTTTTGTGTTTTGTGGTGTAATGTGTCCGTCTGGCCGACAGTGGGCGCTCTGTCCTCGGCCCTCACTCTGTCTCCGGGTGCTGGTTCCTGCTGCTGGGTCCCTGTCGGTCTGGTTGCTTGGTTCTCTCCTGGTTCTCCCTCCGTTCTGTCTCCTGGTCCTCTGCTGGTCCTCTGCTGGTCCTCTGCTGGTCCTCCCCTGGTCCTCTGCTGGTCCTCCCTGGTCCTCACCTGGTCCTCCCTGGTCATGGCCCTCAGTCCTGCAGCGCTGCGGGGGTTGGTGGTGGAGCGGCTGGTGGCTGCGGCAGACGAGATCTTTGCGCTGTTCGAGCGGACGTTTGCGGAATACGAGCACCAGCTTCTGCGCACGAAGCAACTGCAGCACAGAGAAGGTGGGTCTGCACGGGTCCGTACGGGTCCGTACGGGTCCACATGGGTTTCAACTAATGTGGCTTCAGGGTGGGCTCCTCATGCACTGTCTCTGGTCTGTCTCTGGTCTGTCTCTGGTCTCTCTCTGGTCTCTCTCTGGTCTCCCCTCTGGTCTCTCTCTGGTCTCCCTCTGGTCTCCCTCTGGTCTCTCTCTGGTCTCCCTCTGGTCTCCCTCTGGTCTCTCTCTGGTCTCCCTCTGGTCTCCCCTCTGGTCTCCCTCTGGTCTCCCCTCTGGTCTCCCCTCTGGTCTCCCCTCTGGTCTCTCTCTGGTCTCCCTCTGGTCTCCCCTCTGGTCTCCCCTCTGGTCTCCCTCTGGTCTCACTCTGGTCTCCCCTCTGGTCTCCCCTCTGGTCTCCCCTCTGGTCTCCCCTCTGGTCTCCCTCTGGTCTCTCTCTGGTCTCCCTCTGGTCTCTCTCTGGTCTCCCTCTGGTCCCTCTCTGGTCTCTCTCTGGTCTCTCTCTCTGGTCTCTCTCTGGTCTCTCTTTGGTCTCTCTCTCTGGTCTCCCCTCTGGTCTCCCCTCTGGTCTCTCTCTGGTCTCTCTCTGGTCTCCCTCTGGTCTCCCTCTGGTCTCCCTCTGGTCTCCCTCTGGTCTGTCTCTGGTCTCTCTCTGGTCTCACTCTGGTCTCACTCTGGTCTCCCTCTGGTCTCCCTCTGGTCTCCCCTCTGGTCTGTCTCTAGTCTCCCCTCTGGTCTCCCTCTGGTCTCCCTCTGGTCTCTCTCTGGTCTCCCTCTGGTCTCCCTCTGGTCTGTCTCTGGTCTGTCTCTGGTCTCCCCTCTGGTCTCCCTCTGGTCTCCCTCTGGTCTCCCCTCTGGTCTCCCTCTGGTCTCCCTCTGGTCTGTCTCTGGTCTGTCTCTGGTCTGTCTCTGGTCTGTCTCTGGTCTCCTCTCTGGTCTCCCTCTGGTCTCCCTCTGGTCTCCCCTCTGGTCTCCCTCTGGTCTCCCTCTGGTCTCCCTCTGGTCTCCTCTCTGGTCTCCCTCTGGTCTCCCTCTGGTCTCTCTCTGGTCTCCCTCTGGTCTCCCTCTGGTCTCCCCTCTGGTCTCCTTCTGGTCTCCCATGAAGCTGAAGTTTCCAGTTTGTTTCTCGGAGGGAAATGAATCAGTTCTGTGGTTTTTTTCAACGACAATAATGTGATATATTTCCACAAAAAGTCTTGCTTAATAATTTCACTTCCTGGTCGATGACGTCATGTGAGGAATGTTACTTAGCAACAAGCAGATGTTGATCTTGAGCTGAAACTATTGTTGTTTTACTCTGGGCGCAGAAACAGACTCGCTGCGGTGTCAGAACCATGTGCGTCTAATGCAGTGTTTCTGTCCCACAGACTACAACACCACAGACTACAACAACCCCGCGCCACAGAACGGACACTTCCTGTTTCCTTCGGCTGTTGTTAAAATCGAGGATGTGAACAGCAGCTCGTCTTTCCCTCAGAACTCAGTGTCTCTGGTCAAAGCTGAGGAGGAACCCGGCTGCAGCTCAGACCTCCCCCCTGATCCCCAGGACACACCTTACAGCTGCTCAGAGCCCCAGGACACACAGCCTTACAGCTGCTCAGACCAGTCCGAGGAGGAGCAGGGTGCGCAGGACGAGCCGGCAGCCACAGACGGAGACATCCCGGCTCTGTACAAAAGCCTGTTCTTCCCCGAAGCCGGAGCCAGCGCCTCTGCGCCCGAACCGACCAATCAGAGCGCGGCGTGTGCTCAGAGACGGGCGCCACACGGTCCCCTGCGCTGCCCCATCTGCAGCAAGAGCTGCCGCAACAACTCAGGCCTCATGAAGCACATGGGCGTCCACACGGAGGAGCGACCTTTCAGGTATTCACTCTTCAGCTACATACGAGGGACATGACTCTCTATGGTCTTCAATGTTGGTTCAGTGTGTTGCTCTCTGTACTTGCAGGTGCTCAGTGTGTTTGTTGTGCTGACTGTTTAATGTGTGTGGCTCTCTGTACTTGCAGGTGCTCAGTGTGTTTGTTGTGCTGACTGTTTAATGTGTGTTGCTCTCTGTACTTGCAGGTGCTCAGTGTGTTTGTTGTGCTGACTGTTTAATGTGTGTTGCTCTCTGTACTTGCAGGTGCTCAGTGTGTTTGTTGTGCTGACTGTTTAATGTGTGTAGCTCTCTGTACTTGCAGGTGGTCAGTGTGTTTGTTGTGCTGACTGTTTAATGTGTGTTGCTCTCTGTACTTGCAGGTGCTCAGTGTGTTTGTTGTGCTGACTGTTTGATGTGTGTTGCTCTCTGTACTTGCAGGTGCTCAGTGTGTTTGTTGTGCTGACTGTTTAATGTGTGTTGCTCTCTGTACTTGCAGGTGCTCAGTGTGTTTGTTGTGCTGACTGTTTAATGTGTGTTGCTCTCTGTACTTGCAGGTGATCAGTGTGTTTGTTGTGCTGACTGTTTGATGTGTGTTGCTCTCTGTCCTTGCAGGTGCTCAGTGTGTTTGTTGTGCTGACTGTTTAATGTGTGTTGCTCTCTGTACTTGCAGGTGATCAGTGTGTTTGTTGTGCTGACTGTTTGATGTGTGTTGCTCTCTGTCCTTGCAGGTGCTCAGTGTGTTTGTTGTGCTGACTGTTTGATGTGTGTTGCTCTCTGTACTTGCAGGTGCTCAGTGTGTTTGTTGTGCTGACTGTTAAATGTGTGTTGCTCTCTGTACTTGCAGGTGCTCAGTCTGCATGAAGGGCTTTAACCAGAAGTGTAACCTGAAGCGCCACATGGCCACGCACTCTCAGGAGAAGTCTTTCAGCTGTCCAGAGTGCGGCCTGCGGCTGAAGCAGCAGCACAACCTGCTTCGCCACATCTCGGCCGTGCACCGCGGCGTGCGGCCGTACAGCTGCCCGCTCTGCGACAAAGCCTTCGCCCAAAAGACCGTCTTCATCATCCACATGCGCACGCACACCGGCGAGAAACCTTTCAGCTGCTCAGTCTGCAGGAAGCGCTTCAGAGACAAGTGTCACCTGAAGAGACACGTGAAGACGCACGGACAGCTGGAGGTGAGGGACGACGCCCGCCACTCTGTCTGAGGACCATGTGGACGGGACCATGTGGACTAGTCTGATTCTGGTCTCAGTTTGGAGATCATTTCTCTGATTCCTGGAACTTCTTTGTTACATATCGACTATGGACTAATTATATTCTCTCTGTAAATAGTTTTAGTTAAATATAATCCAAACTGTTAAATCCTGCTCAAATATTAACATTTTTGTGGTTCATTTAAAGCTGAGGAACGGAAGCTTGTTAGGTTCACTTGTGAGTTTTTTTTGTTGCTGGTATGTTATTTCATGATACTTTCATGAAATAACAAGATAAATGTTATTTCATGATACCAATTTATCAGAAGAAGCTGACAGCTTCTTCTTCTGTATCTACAGTATCATGTTATTTCATGATAAATTGGTTTCATGAAATAACATTTATCTTGTTATTTCATGAAAGTATCATGAAATAACATACCAGCGGGAAAAAAAACACAAGTGAACCTAACGAGCTTCCGTACTGAGGAACCTAACTTTTGTAACATCAGGGAAATCCTCTCCCTGGTCTGATGGTTCCGTTCATATTTTAAAGTTAGGTACCTCAGCTTTAATGGTGTTTTATTCCTATTACTGCAGTTAAGGCTCGACA